ATATATATATATATATATATATATATATATTCATAAATAAAGCAATGTTGAAGAACATGTATGAACATGATGTGAAGTCCAAAAACAATAATTTTCTGAACATATGGAAAATAATTAATATGTAAAGTCATCCGCTGGATTGAGTCTCAGTGATCTTCAACTCTTCACATGTCTGTTAACTTCTCCACTGAATGAGTGACAGCGTCCAGGTAAGAACACCTGCACAGTAACAGCATTACATGATTTTTGTTTAGGAGCCCAATGAAACAATAATTATTATTATTATATGTTCAGGGAATTAAGAACTTAATTTACATACAAGTGAATTAATAATTTTTTCTCTCTTTTTACCTTAAAAAAAAGACAAAAATAAAATAATATTTACATATTCTTTTACTTAAAGGGGTGGTTGATACGTTGAAACGTTAGTTAGTGTGTAATGTTGCTGTTTGAGCATAAACAATACCTGCAAAGTTATGAAGCTGAAAGTTCAATGCAAACAGAGACATCGTCTTTTAAAATGCTGGCAGTTTAATGCCTACAAAAACGGCTGGTAGGGACTACAACAAGTTACTTCCCGTGTTTGTGACATCACAAACCCAGATAAACCGCGCCCTCGGGAAAAGGCAGCAAAGGGGGCGAGGCTATGCTGCACTGCTTTAGAGAAGAGCAAGAGAAAATTAGAGGTGCACGTAAAAATCTATTCATATATGAATCACGATTCTGTCTTCTAAAGATTCTAATGGATTCACAAGTTTCATGGACGCGCATGTAGTTGCCATACTGTATTAAAGCTTTAATCAGGATACAAACTGATAAGCGATATTAACGACGTCATTGTTTACAATACAACCGGAGCACATGCCGCTGAGCTGAGGGGCGGGACGGTTTGAAGCACACTAGAGGCGGTTTAGCCAATCACAACACATTGGCCTAGCTAACCAATCAGAGCCCATCGCCTATTTCTGAGGGCAGGGCTTCAAAAAAGCAGGAAATGATCAGCGCGTTTCTAAGAGAAGGGATAGAGTCGTGTGGAATAAAGGTAAATTATGTGAAAAATAATGTGTTTAAAAAAAAAAAAAACGACGCTTTGGGCTGGCAATTTAGTGAATCACAACACACTGGGCTAGTTAACCAATCAGAGCCCATCGCGTATTTCTGAGGGAGGGGCTTCATAAAAGAAGGAAATGATGAGCCCGTTTCTCAGAGAAGGGACAGAGCAGTGTGGAATAAAGGTAAATTATGTGAAAAATAATTAAAAAAAAAAAAAACGAAGCATTAACACATGTTAGACTGCACCCCATAAACACAATCAAGCTGAGAAAAAAATAGTGAACCACCCCTTTATACCACTCTTTCACTTAGTTTCACTCTTTTCACTTTTTTTCACTTGAATATCAATCAAATACACAGCTAACATAAGTTAAACAGGTTGACGATTAATATTCTCATAAGAATAGAACTATCTAAGAACTATTCTAACTAAGAATAGAACGGTCAAGCGATTAGTCAACAGAAGAGACAGACGGCTGCACAATGTCAGTGTTAGTCGTCCACAGGGAAACTGCTTCTGGCCCATATTATTTTATTTTACAAGTAGGTTATGAAAGTTGTAAATATAAAGTATTAAAAAAATATATTAATCTAGCTAATCAATTAATAATTTATATTAATGTATAACCCGATAAGAGAAAATAACGTAAATGAGTTGCCTGTTTAAACTAGTCTTTATAGACTCTTTTGTAATGACTTGATTACTTTTATTTTATTTTAGGGAATTAATTACTATTAATTCAGTCAGGGTTTGAAAGGAATCGAATCTTGAAAATTCGATATCAACCTGATTAAAACTGATTTCAAATCTGATAGTTTACACTTTAATATCCCGTGCTTGCAGGCCTGAGGGCATCAGTTAATTTACTCATCCTTTTCCTGTTTGGACATAATGGTTCCATCCATTGGTGGTCACAAGACATCGGGGTTTCTATATGTTGTGAACTGGCTTTTCAGTCCTGACACAAAGAAAGCTTTGTTGACTCCTGATTTAATTAATTCGAAGCCTCATGATGGTGATTCAGTGGCGTATCAGTGTCCTGTTCATGAAATCCCTACACTTTCAATCAGATTAAACTACTTGTAATATTAGTGAAGATCATGCAGGTTCACATACCTGCTCTCTGTGTAGTTGTCACGTCAGTCGGTCGGTGGGTGAGGTTTATAAGTGTTCGTGTCAGACCTGTGATCTCTGTGGAAACCTGCTGTGTAATTGTATGAAGTCGTGGCCTAATAGGGGAAGTCGTGGCCTAATGGTTAGAGAGTCGGACTCATAACCCAAGGTTGTGGGTTCGAGTCTCGTACCGGCAGGGATTGTAGGTGGGGGGAGTGAATGTACAGCGCTCTCTCCCACCTTCAATACCACGACTGAGGTGCCCTTGAGCAAGGCACCGAACCCCCAACTGCTCCCCGGGCACCACAGCAATGGCTGCCCACTGCTCCGGGTGTGTGTTCACGGTGTGTGTGTGTGTGTGTTCACTGCTGTTTGTGTGCACTTAGGATGGGTTAAATGCAGAGCACTAATTCCGAGAATGGGTCACCATACTTGGCCACATGTCATGTCACTCACTCACTTATTGTTCTTATGTTAGAGGTGATTTCAGCCCTTTAGCAACAGACAGAGCTGTGTATCAACGAGTACGAGTCACACGAGTAACCATGGTCCAGTTTTCTATATATAGTGAAAATAAAACTATTACAGAAGTGTCTCAAAATCTGCCAAGTAACTTTTTTTGTTTTGATCTGACCTAACTACATCTAAAAATAGACTAGGTTTAGAGTGTTAACTAGTGATTACTAGGTTTGTGAAAGCTCACACTGAGTAAAATCAGCATTAACATCTAATACTTTTAAAGAGAGAAATGTGGTTAATATGGAACACTTTTGGTATGTTTATATGGGATGTTTTCTTATGGGCATTTAATATGAAATTGTGATTCAAATCATGAAAAACAGAGTTGAACATATACACCTTAAAATTTCAGAAAATTTGAATATACATTTTTGATAATGACTATGCAAATATTTTAATAAACAGTTATACACAGCTTTTTATTGCTCTGTGGTCTACAATAAACTTGGTTATATTACTAGAATGATCACTCTCTTAGATATTAAGCAAATATATTTTTATAAATAAATGTAAATAAAGCAAACAAGTATTTAAATTACTAATAACCATAATCACGCATTCGTTGTGAAAGATTGAAATGTACTGGAACCCAAAAATATCTTCAGAAATATCAAATATTTAAATTTCTAAATTACATATAAAAAAAAAAGAAAAGTTCAGTGTACATGCGTGACAAACGCATTTTTTAAAAGTGCAAATATTTCATTTTAAGAATCCTCAATTAAAAAATAAATTCCTGATGACCAATCAGTTATGATGACCTATCAGTAACGACCAATTAAAAGAGATTGTCAAAATATGTTACATGACCAAAAAGTACATATGAAAATAAGACTCAAATAACAGCGTGTCATTTTGATCCCTTTAATTACCTTTTTCCAGTTGTTCATAGTATTACACAGAGAAATTAGCCACACAATTATTTGCAATTTTGATTGCATTCTGTTATTCATAACATTTTATTATTTTTTTGTTAATTACATTATTTCCTTTTTTAGTGCTAAAGCTAAAAAAGTTACACAAGAACTAGCACACTGATGTCTAACCCATGAGGACATTGAGCCGTAAATCTACTTCACAGAAAATAAAAGGGTTTCATTGAGGAGAGTTAAAAATACAAAAGGGACACACATTTACATTCACACCGTCCCAACACACGCCACGACATAATCCATTCCTTTCCCCATTCTTTTTATTTTATTGTGCCATTAATCTCACCTTTATTATGGTTATTTCTCTATGTATTTGGCAAAAATTTCAGATCTATTTCTATTTTTGGTAAAGGCTCTTGTGAATCTGGGATGATCTTGCAGTCTTTACGCTGAACGCAGTTATCAAAATTCCATTCAAATTTCCATTAGAAAGAAAGAAGAAGAATACCAGGTTTCCCACTTGCACAACCCATTAAAACCAACATTCTGTCATGAACAAGAGAAACAACTCTAAAACGGGATAAAAAAATTAAAATAAACGAACACTGGAGGAACTTTCCAATTAATGTTGATTATTCCGATTTATTGTCATTTTCAGGGCAGTGTTTTGCTGAACGTGATTGTTACACTGCATTAGCAGTTGTGAGGTTTTGGTCTATTGTTGTCATTGGCAAGTGTTAGCAATATTGCAAAAACTCAGTGATTTCTGTATTCTTTCGAGCACTCTACATCGAAAATTCTATAGGTTTAAAGTTTAAACATTGCAGCTACGCTAACCTGCTAATCTCAATGGCTTGCCGATTGGAAAAGCTCTTGGAGATAATGGGTAACTAACATGGCTAAACCCTGTTGGCAGTGAAGGGGCTGGTTAATCAGCAAAGTTAATTTGACACAAGCGCTCTGATGCGCCACCATTCTTCTGAACAAATTTGCATGCAATTCCCTTATTGTGCTTTAAGGTTAAAGCACTGCACGCACACTCAGGCATGCCCACACACACTGTTTTTGTCTCTATGGTTCAGCATTAGATCACACCATGGCTTTACTTGAAACCAGTGCTAGCGCTCTCAAGTTACCTTAAAACGAGGAACTCCCATTGAAAGACAAACGTCACCGTCACCATGAGGACCCCCTCAACGTTTCCAACCAAACACTTCTAGCAGACTAGCAGGGTTACAACAAAGTACTGTGGCCGTACCATGGCACTTTGATGGTATCAGGTGGCAAAACTATTGGCCTTTGTTATATACCACATTAGCCTAGCTACTAGTTGGTGATCATAGTCATATCTGCTGTACAATGATATAGTAAACTTTAAAAAATATGTCCACCAATTTAAGGTAGGCTACACATCCAAAAACTCGCAACACACTCTCATGGCAATTCGTAGGCCTAAGCATTTTACGTTTTGGCGAATTGGTGGCTAATTTGTATGAATTTGTACGCACTGACTGTTAGGTTTAGAGGTGGACTTGTATGATTACTTCTATTCTTTAAATTGTATGTTTATGTACGAATCATATCATATGAATTCATACGAAATCACCACCTCAGGTGAAAAAGACACACTGCAGTGTATGAATGTAATGAATGCAATATTCATTCATTATTATCCATCCTGCAGGTATTTTATTTCTCAAACTAGTAGTTGAGGTGATTGCTTTAGAACTGGCCTTGTGAATGAGTGTGTTTACTTGTGTGACTTTGCATCAACGATTAATAATTCCTTAAACGGCGGCCTTTTATTTGGAAAAGCCTCTAAAACACCTGATCATGTAAATGCCCAAGACACTCTCATGACAGTTTGTAAGTATCTTACAATTTGGTGAATTTTATAAGTTCTAAAAATCGCACGAATCAAACCGTTCAAATTTGCAAATAGATGGTTTTCTCATGAGACCGGGTTTAAATGCTCATTCACGACATACAAGCCGAATACATTTCTAGTTTTTCGTTCATAAACCTAAATTCTAAATTTTCCATTCATACATTTTTTCTGCAAGCTGACATTTTTGCGCATTTTTGATTGTGACTGGAAAAAAAGGATGTCAAAATCTCATGTAAACAGACATATTTTCTTGCGTTATCATTGATTTATTGATTTGCAATAAATCCTAGAGATGGGTTTTTACAATGAGCTAATTTTTAATAGTTATCAGCATTTCGTTGTACACGTAAACACACTCAATGTTGGAAGCACTTGTCCGATTCTTTTACTAATTGTGCTCTCTTTCAACTGAGTGTCAACTTGAAATCGACTTTATTTACTTTAAGCGATTCATTTCTTGGATGCACGTTATTAGTCTTCATAATCTTTCATCAAACTCGCTCTACCTCTGAAACAACTTTCCTTTACGGCTGCCGTCATCAATTTCTTTTATTCCCAATCACCATCATATACACACTTTTAATCGATTCCCCACAGATAAACTGAAACCCCGTCCAACATTTAGGCTTTATCCGGTTTCTATGAAAATACATCCGATTACAGAAAGAGCCTAAAATGTGAATATCATGTCACATGACTTCAAAACAACGACCGCTGTGTCTTTTTCGTTGTTCTCTCGCACACGCACACTCTCACTGTCATTAAACGAACGTAAAATCCTTAAAAGAAAAAAAAAAATGAACATAGACTGACTAGATAAACAAAATTCCGGCATGCATTTCAGAAAAGGCAACGACCCCAATGGCCCTAACCCCCGAAACCAAACGAATCCAATAAAAAAAATACAATTACAGTATTTTTTATTTCTCGCTTTTATGTATATAGCTTTTTTGAAGGGCAAATGGAAGACATGAGGTGGCTGTCATCTACAGAGATGAGCACTTCGGCCTAAAACTTTCGCCACCGTCTCCGAAAATACTGTGCCCCTCTCACAGCAGCAGGATTGTATAACAGAAGAAAATAATACAAAATACAAAAACGAAAGAAAAAAAGCACACCAAAAAATAATAATCACATAGAAGTTGATAGACACACATAATGAGCTTATATACTCTTTTCTCTATTTTTTTGTTTAGAAATTCAACATGTAATTAAGAGAAACATCGTTATTTTTTTTTCAATGATGCTCGTCATCATTAATATTAATAATCAGTATTCATATTAGAAGTATTACTATTGGTTAACACTACATTTGGGTCTCACTAAAGGCCCCGCCCATGTCACAGAGTTAAAGGGCTCTATCATCTGCCTGACGGGTCGGTGAAGGGTGAAGGGAGGGAGAGAGTCGTCATCATCCGCCCGTCTTCACGCACGAAACTCACTTTCCCAGAGGACTCCAGCGCTTCATCCGTCCACCTCTCTCCCCCGCTCTGGCACTCTTCAGCACGACACCTCCATGGTATGGGACGGGCTCGGCGGGAGCTGTCCGCCCTGTGAGCCCTGGGACAGCGTGCGGGATCGGGAGCGCGAGCCCTCCATGGAGTAGGAGGACGAGAGCGAGGTGGTGCGCGAGCGTGAGAGACGCGTCATGCAGGACGACGCCACTGAGAGAGAGCAAACAGAAGAAATCGTCGAAAAACAAGAAAAAATCAAATGAAATATAACAAATAAAAAAATAGATAGATAGATAGAATCAGTGAAAAAAGAATCCAAAATGTAAGGGGATGTAAGAGGAGAATTGTGAAATAAAAAGCATTTATTTAGTTAGTAACAATATAAAAATATGGTGCTTCTATCAGCAACTATTTACCAACAAAATGTTACTTGCTCTTGTTAATCTGGTCAAAAATGCACCAACCAGCTAAAACCGAAGGGTTAAACATCTTGTCTTCTGATAATGAGAAGCTAAAATATTGCTGTGTATAGGCTAATATTATTATTAACGTTCAAAAGTTTGGGGTTGGTAAGATGGTTTTGAAAAAAGGCTCTCCTGCTCACAAACAAGGCTGTATTTATTTGATCAGAAATACAGTAAAAACAGGAATATTGTGAAATATTATTACAATTTATGTTAATTGTTTTCTATGTGAATATATTGTAAAATGTATTTTATTCCTATAGGATCGAAGCTAAATTTTCAGCATCATTACTCCAGTCTTCAGTGTCACACGATCCTTCAGAAATCATTCTAATATATAGCGCCACCTATGGTCCAATCTCCATAAAACTTTGCATGCTTGTTCAGAATCATCTGTCGCATGTGCTCACTTATGCTGAGTTCACACTGCATAATTTTCAAACTCGTCGGATCGCCATTGTTTTCACACTGCGTGACTAATGACTTCACAATATAGGAAGAATCGCCGACAGCTCTGTCTGGTTCGCAAACTACGTTTCACAACAAAACACACGCGAGAAGTGATAAGGAAATAGCGCGAGAACCCGCTTGTGTCAGACCGGAGTTCTCAAGCGAGACTGGAATTATTAAAAAAATATATATAGCCCGCAAATTGTCTGTGAGCTGTTTTCCAGCTACAAGGAGAAAAATAAAAACAGATTATGCAGGAGGGAGATTGGAGGTAAATCATTTTTCAGTAACTGTTATGCTGATGTTGTGGCTGGTCAAGCAAATGTTTGTGCTTGTTTCTGTATGATATAATTGTTCATATATCTATTAAAATACTGATATTCTGGTCTATAACTCCTCCCTGAACTTCCCT